CAGAAAGCCCCCCCCGAACTCCCTACCCCCCCGTCTCTTGACTGCCCCCTCCAGAACCTCCCTGCCCCTTCTCCGACCCCCTGGCCCCTTGTTGTTGGCCTTCGCCTAATGTCTATGTGAGCTTGCTCAGGAACGGCTCCCTTCGTCCTGGCAGGCTGGCTCGCAGGGGAGAAGGAGCGGGGGAGGAGCTCCAGACTGCCGGAGGGATCGCTGCTGCAGGGGGAGGGGGGCTCTCTGGCTGTCGGAGCCTCATGTAAGTGGCACCATCCGTCCAGCTGCCCTGTTAGCCACTTGGGGGGGGAGAAGTCCGGACATTTATAAATTCCCCCCGGACGCTATTTTTAGCTCGAAAATCCGGACATGTCCAGGGGAATCCAGACGAATGGTAACCCTACCAAACAGTTCCTTTGCTTTCAGCTTTTAAAACCAGCCTCTGCTCTTACCTTCTACCACCCTCACTCCAAGATCCAAAAAGACAGTACCTGTAATATAGTTGGTATGCCACTTCCTGTGTGAAAATTCAGAATCACAAACAAATATATGTGCCTGCACATAGACAAACATATTCACATAAATGCAGGCCATAACCTGCAACTTGTGTACTCATTTCCACCTGTGCAAAGAGGACAAAGCAAATCAGAATGGTAGCATTTTACACCAATTTGTGCAGGTGTAAGTGACTACACAAAGTGAAAGGCAGTGGGAGAATCAATGCCTCCTCCCCAAACATTCATGCACAAAAACTCTATGAATTCTCCCACATAAGTGAATATGAATGGGGGCACACATAGTCAACCCAAATTTCAATTTGTTTCCTCCTCCTTCAATCTTAAATAAAGTGGAATGTCTTGCTTCCATATTAAAAGAAAACAAGCTTCAAATGACCGATTTTATTGCCCAAAAAACCTAGGTTCTGAAATGGAGGAAAGAAGCAAAATGTTAAGTATGGCAAACTGTAGACTCATTCCAGTATTTGATATACTTGTAGCTACATCAAAACAAACAGCACACATCTTGTATTGTCTATCGGGCCAATAATGCTTTTGAAGGGAAGTGGCTCGCCTGTACTGAAGATCAGTTTGACAGCTTTTCTTACAAACATTATGTGAAAAAGCAGTGGAAATATTATTTTTTTAAATGTAATTTATCCGAAATCTGCTGAGAGAAACGTATATTCCTGATTCCTTGTTTGCTTAGTTATAAGGCCTCCTGCTTTAAAGTAAGCACTGACCAACTGACTGTCAACTTAGCTTTCAACCTCGGCTTCAAAGAGTTGCAGCTTTTTTCAGAGTAATTCAGGTGAATTCAGCAGGAAAAAAGTCAGCTAATAATTTGAGTGCAACTCTTAATGTGCCCATACAAAAAGTTAGTGAGCTGTGCAACAAGTATCATTCTGATGTTACATAGAGTTTCCACCTGAACAATGTCTTTCATTAATAAATATACCCATGCAACAACAGCTCCCAAATCTTGTCTACTGTTAAAATTAAGTCCCAAATGTTCTAAAATGGCCTTCGTTTTTGAGGGCAAAATGTTGCATCTGCAAATAACTGCCCCTGCATTTTTGAACCTCTAATCACTGTGGATGCCAATATGAGCATTCATACACTCCTACCTGCAAGTTGTATTTTTCACTCTGACTTTTCCTTAATAGGCCATGTGATATTTATAAGGTGTGGAATTTGTAGAGACTGAAGCAAATGTATTTGCAGTAATTATCAGCAGCAATTTTATTTACTCTAATGAATCTAGTTATGGTTATAAGCATAATATAGTACATATCACATTTGCTTACATTGAGATTATAATTATTTAAAATAATAAATGATTAAATATTTAAAATGACATTTTCCATCAAAGGATCTCAAAGTGGTTTACAAAGGTGGGTACAGTAAGTTTTATCCCCATTTTATGGATGTGGACACTGAGCTTTAGGGAGATTAAGAGGTTCACATAAAGTCACACATTGAGTCATTGGTAGAGCTGGGAATCAAACCTAAATCTCCTGATTCCTACTCTTGAACTCTAAAACCATAGACAATAATGCTTCTAACAGGGGTAACATGTACAACCTACGCTTGGTTGATTTTCCTACTACATCCCCACTCTACCATCCTTTCAGCATGCATTCACTTATACAACATTTATGTCACCCTCAAACTTTGAACCACTGTGTGTAGAGACAAGTCAATTTTAGACAACCACTCATGTTAGTAACAGTTTATTTACGGACTTTTATCTAGTACCAAAAATCCAATGCACTATGGCATCATTTAGAATTGTTTGTGGGGGCCTAGGCTTTCCAAGTACAAATTCCTGCCATATTACAGGATTTAGATTTTGAGAGATCAGCTCAAACACTGAGGAAAATGTCTAGCTATTAAAAAGTTCCACTTTCATCTTTTCATGCAATACTGCTAAACACTAGTGTGCCACAGGCAATAAACTACTTTGTGCATTAAAACAGATTATTTGGGTCTCTTAAGAGTGATGAGTGAAAATTTGAGGCCAGCTAGCATTTCTAAGAAGAAATAGTTAAAAGGCTCTTCTGAATCAACTATAATCCTGTAATCTCAGTTCTCTGTAAAATAAAAAGGAAAAGGCATCTTTCTCATTTCAATCTAGTAAAATAAAATCAAACCCTGATTTCTATATTTTGGATAAAACCAACATTTTCTGAGACACACGGGTACAAATATAACCTCAATTAATTATCTGTGTATGATGTTTCCTTGAAATTCTAATCTCTATAGCTCAGTTGGCTAGATTGTACATATTCAGTATGATTGAAAAACTGTGTTTAATGAAGATATAATTCTAACACACTTGTTTAACTACAGGGCAAGGGATGTAATTACATTTACTACTTAACAATAGACTATCCTTACAATTCAGGCACTAATAAAAGCATGCCCTTTGTTCACTTTATAGTGGGCAGATGCAGTTGACCCTAAATTTGGCCTGCTATATATCCAGTGTCTGCTTTAAATAGAGGGAAGATAAAGTAGTGTATTGAATGTATTATATGTGAACAATGGTATGTATTAAATGTGAATGTACAGTACTGTACATGCTGTCTGGCTAGTATTTGAGTTAAAACTGTGTATAACTAATTTGGTGAGAAAATATACTCTTGCCCCCAGCTTGCATTCTGACACTTGCACAGTCTTCTTGCCACTATACCATCGCACTTCAGAGCAAGATGACCACACATTTTCAGTGTGTGCCCCTTATCGTTAAGGCTATGTTTTAGTTACGGTTACTTTTAATAAAAGTCACGGACCGGTCATGGGCAGTAAACAAAAATTCACGGCCTGTGACCTGTCCATGACTTTTACTAAAAATACCCATGAGTAAAACTTGCGGGGGAGAGGTTTCCCGGGGGGCCCGCAGGTGCTGGGGCATTGAGTTCCATATCCACTACTGACAGGAACTTAATTAGGTCAACTAGCAATGCGTGGGGCACTGGAGTGACATTCACACCAAAACAAGCCCCAGCTCAGGGTTCACATATAAGTCAATGGGAGATCTTCAGGTTAGGTGCAAATAATACAGCCCCACCAAAGCTGCAATCCACCACTGCTCTATGTTTAATTGTAAGCCTGGCTGGAGACAACTACATCAATATAAGCCCTGCAGTGTCATCCTTTCATCAGTTGTATGCACAAAGACGCCTCTCCCTTAATTAAAGTTATTACTTTTTATGATTTGTCAACTAATGAATTTATATTCAGCAACATGAACTGAATGGCAGGATCCACATCTGCCAACACTGTGCTCCAGATGTCAAACAGATGTTGAAACCTGATCGAGACTTGTGCCTACTACATGATTTTTTCTACTTTGTCTTCCTATCATCTCCAGCATCTACCAGCCCTTTTGGCTGTGGTTATCAAAGGGATGCAGCAATTGTAGTTTGATACTCTATGTTTGAACAAGTCAAATAGAAGTCAGATTGAGGCCTGCTTTAAAAATTAGAAACACCGTGTTCTTGATTCTTCTCTTGTATTCACCCATGCCAGGGATTTAGGGAGGGGCACCAAGCAGATAAAGCCACCCTCAACTTTCACCCTGATTAGAGTGCTTGATTGTTTTTGCCCACTAGTGTAAGCAGCCACTCCAAACTCACTCTCCCTTAATATTGTAGAGATCTTAATCTACCTGTTAATAGTCTATTTGGCTACCTGGTGGTCCAGCCTATGATGAAAATACAGAAAATCACTGCTTGTGACAAATAAAAAGCGACTGCTTTTCAGAAGCTGGGAGGGCATTCACAGTTGCTCCCCTGGTTTGCACTGCAACATTCCTAAATGCATTTAACCCTTTGTTTGACATAAGTGGAAAAGCAGCAGCTGAAATAAGTACAATAAGTAATGTTATGCCAGAGATACATCATAAATTAACGAAGAGCTGGGAACATGGCCTGCTGTGAATCTTCCTTGAGATGGACAATATGTCTGCTATAAACAAGGCATTATTTTTATAACAATATGTTCTTTTAAATGCTGATGTGCAATATGAGATGGAGGAAATGTTAGGTGTTGAAAAAACAGGCTGTCCTAACTAATACAGGACAGATGAAAGTCATGGAAAACTCTGCTTGTTAGCTAATATTCTTCTCAAAACACCCTCATTATTTGTTGGTCTCTTATTCACTCAGCTACTGTAAATGAGAATAGTGCAAACTCATGCAGTGCAAATTTACTCTTCAGAAATACATTTCCATTGACTGTCATTTCTATTTGTAGGGAACAAAAGAAACTCTTCTCAAAAGAATAAGAGAGTGAACCTTACTGGCATAAAGGAACAGCGTCTTTGATGATACAAGTTCCTCCATTTTTGCAATATCCTTCTGGACAACCTAGGAAAATATAAGTAAACAAAGGTAACTAGATTAAGGAAGATGTAATAGAAATTAGTCCGTTCCTCCTGCCAATGCAAGATTTTTTCCCTATATCAGATTTTCTACAATTTGATTTTCAGAGTTGCTGAATGCTCACAGCTCTCATTTAGTATAGCTGATGTTTTGGGTGCTGAGCATTTCTAAAGACCAGCACTGTAGGCCGTGATTCAGTAACATACTTGGTCACGTGCCTATCCTAAGCATCTCCACCAAAGTCATAGCACTACTTGTGCTTAAAGTAATCCCAGTGCTTTGTTGGGTCTAGGCCCTAATGATTTCTCAGGTCAAATTTTACACGACTCTCATAGTGGGGCTTCTGTCATTCATTGGAACATTCAGATATTACAATATGAAGATTCCCAACACTATACAATAGAGAAAAGAGTTAGTTTAGAGTGCTGAACTTCATAGATTGATTTAGTGCCTATGTCTGATATTATTATTAATAGTTTAAATGTAAGGATGAGATAAGAACAGATGTTCACCATCTGCTGTGTGACCAGTCTTTTCATAAAAGATATCTCATATATACATGTTCATACAGCTCGAGGGAAATCAGTCTTAATAGAATAAGATGTTTAAGAAGAAAGACATGCCAAGCCAAGTGTTGTTATGGACTTGTGACACACCTTGGGTATTTGGTGGGCATGAGGTCAACCTAAGTTCACATATATTTTAACATTTACACATTTAATTTAAAAAATATTCATTCACCAAAAAAGCCCCAAATAAACCAAAAACAGAACCCAAAGGTTTTGAAAGCAACAAAATAATTTTTACAAATGTTTGTTGTTAGTTCCTTTTCCTGTTACAATGAATATCTGTCTTGTTTTATTTACTATTTTATTACCACTGAATATCCCCCCACATTATAGTTATATAATTACAGCAGGGCAGTACATGCTCCTCTAAACTTTCAAAACAGTCTGCTGGAATTTATACAGTATCTACAGCAGTAAAACAATTTAGGCTGCTATCCTGCAACTCCAGGCACCTACATAACTTTACTTAAGTGAGCAGTCTCATGAACTTTAATGGGACTAGTCTCTGGAGTAAAGTCAAGTATGTGACTAAGTTTTGTAGAATCAGAGGCAAAATTATTACTTACTGGTATGCACAGTGAATTCAGTGGGCCTCCTTATCTGAGCAAAATGTATCCCAAAACAATATTAGAAACCATATGGCACAATCTGAACAATAAGCAAGTAATTGCTCAGATAACAAAGTTGCAATTTTATGGGACTGAACAAGTTATTAAAACTCCCACCATTGTCCCGATTCTACAATTGGCTGGGCATGGCATGTGGCATGGCCACACTCCAACACCTATGTGGTGCCTTGCCTGGACACAGGGGTCTATTGGTGTTAGAGTTAACTACAGGATTTGGGCCATCTTCCTGGAATGGGAGAAAATGTATGAACAAATTCACTGCTGCATAGAGTCAGATAAAAGAAATAGTATGGGCTGTTTGCTGGAGACATAAAAGAAAAAATATCAGATTAGTTATTCTATTCAGATACCTGAATTTCCAGCAAGATAGTGTGGGACGCAAATTATTTAAAAGATATGCCACCTGAAAAGTGGCAGGAGGCCCTTTTTTACCACTATTTGAATTTACTGCTTTATGTTTACCATCTCACAATCCTCTACATTTAACTGGATACTAAATATACTCCCTTGCATTTATAACATTCACTCAAAACATTACAAAATTACCAAAGATAGATTACAACATCTATTTACCAAGCATTTTATATTACTGTGAATTTTTCATGGTAAAATATTACTGTTTCATGAAACATAATATAAACTGTATTTCTGGTCTAATTCTTTTCCGGGTGCTCCCCCAGAAGTCAGTGAATGCTTCATATTAACATCTGGGCACAGAATATAGCTCTATGGATGCCTTGTGAGTTAAACACTTTGTATGTATGTTCTAAAGATGATTTTTATTAGATATACTGCATTTCCTATTTTTACTTTTATCCATTATTTTTCTGTTGTACTAAAAATATCAGGCTTTGCAATATTTTTATTATGCTAAGATGCATTCTCTATTTCCTGATTTAGGCCCCAGTCCTGCATGTGCATTTTAAGCACATGAGAAATCCCAGGGACCTCCAAATGTTCAATTCACTTTACTGGGACTACTTGCATAATTAAAATCAAGCCTATATGTTTGCAGGGTAGAGGTTTTACTGTAATTCAATATATATACCAAGAAATACCCCCATTTCAAACAGTCACAATTTTTTCATTGTTTTCTCCCATTATCCTCTCTATAAAAATAACATAATGTTTCAAATTCATCCCTCGTGTAATCTGACGGAGCTTCAGCAGGATGAATTCAGTCAATATTGTGCACCATTTGCAGGTTAAATAAAAAACTCTATATATTTCTATTGAAATGATATTTTGATGTGAAACTGACTACCTGAACAGCTGGATTCATCAAGACTGAAATCAAAGCAGTCAGCAATACCATCACAGCGCTTGGAGACTGGAATACATGTATTAGTTGATGCACACAACACAGAACCATTGAAGCAGTCCTTTGTGGCTGGAACAAAGTAACAAGATGACATAGTTAGACACATTTCCTTTATTCACTGATAAAACACTATTGGAACACTATAGCAGCTTATTTGTGTCAGAGTATATAAATCTGGATTGGCATTTCCATTTTAAACTTCCATTTGGGAGGTGTACAACTTAGACATTAAAAAAGACAGCTTAGGTTGCCAAATCAAGCTTTTACCATGTTCAAATCCTGGGAAGGGGTGTTTACATTTGATATGTTATTGGTGGAATAGGTGCAATGCTTAATGAAAATCCACAATCAGATATCAGAAAACATAATCAATCTGCCTAGATAACTCAGTTATCAAAATAATTGAATTAATTCTTAAACATAGAACTGAAACGTGCTGTAAAAGTATCCCATTTTGTTGCTAGAAGCTAAACACTATATATGGCTGATGTAACAAAAGTGGAGAAAGGCTACATTAAAAATCTAAACCTACAGACATTTGTCATGCTGTAGCATTCAGTTATATTCTCTAAACTCATCTAAAGGAATTATAGAGGGGAAATCTTGACAGAATCACATAAGCCTCCAGGTAATTCATTATGGCATCACTGATTCTATAAGATGTACCCGGTGGTTCTGCATTCTGTCCGAGAATCTAACAGCATTTTGTCACTTTGAGAAACATTCTAGCTAATGAAATGTTCTGTTGCACTGCCCCTGAGCCATTATTTCTGAACATCTTGGTTTAAGGGACAGTGAGCTAAATTCTTCTCTCCATTATGCTTGCATAAACCAGGAGTAGCACACTGTTTTCACTTGAGTTAGACATATCACCAGTGTAACTGAGCAGAATTTGGCCCGGATTTTAGATTTATAACGAGCATGAGAGAATTTAGGAATATTTTAAGTACTCTAAATGACTGGATTACACCGAGCCAAAAGAAAATGCTGAATATAAAATACTGCACTTCAACCTTGCAATACGAATATTATATCAGATCCTGCCAAATGTTGCTAATGCAGGCAGTCTCTCAGACGACAAGTAGACTCCTAGAAGTAAAGGTTCACAGGATCAGACCCATAAATCTTACACACTGCCAATTTACCAAGGACTATAAATATATCCAAAATTACTAGTCACTTTAGGAAATCTTGGCGAGTTTTCCTCCTTTTGCATACATCACAGGGCTCATGTAGCTTGTGTCATTTGTGCACAAATACAAATTTGTGCATATAACTGCAGTAAGCAGTAAATGCATCCAAAATCGGGGGTGAAATTGCACACGCCCTGAGAATTTGATATTTTAAAAACTCAAGTCTTTAACCTCAGCAATTTCATTTATATCTCTTAGACCTTCTGTATGATTTTTCTTACCCATCTATTTTAAAGACGCTCCATGGAAGGACACATGTAGTATTGCTTATTTTGTTTAATGTACACTGTGATAAACATAGGAGCTCTGTACCTGGGCTACATTTAAGTTGTGCTCAGCACAGCTTGTATTGGGGAGACAAATGTGGCATAGAGCCACTTCTACTTTCCCCAGTCTTGGGACTGGCTCTCCGCTACATGGATACCATAGGGTAAAACAGAGAAATCTTTGGGTTGCTTCTCTACTTTGTGTTGGCTGTCGTTAGTCCCAAGGACTTTTTCAATAGCTGGGGATTGTTGGGGCATAGAGATGCCCTGAACATGCCCTTTTCTCCCCAGTTTACCACCTCCCAACCCCCTACCCCTGTACTCGGGAGGGTGGTGAAGAAATTGCTTGAGTGGCTCTGCACCACCCTAAAATTCCCCTTCCAGAGGGTGGATCTCCTTCATGACTGCATTGCACCACTGCAGTGGGTGTTAAGAAAGGGAATATGACTGAGTTATCAATGCAGCAGTAACTAACTTTTAGAATTTTCTGACTTTTTAACATTGATATTTCTACTTTAATATTGCATCAATGCTTTGGATACAGTCAATACACTCTGTCATTCACACAACTACAATGGGCTTCAGCAGAGTTATAATTTAATGTCATAAGAGACCACCATGTGTTTTAAGGATGCAGATGCCAAATGCAGGGATTAAAATGGGAGCAAATGGTCAAAAATACTTAGGTTTGCATCCATAATTCATTCTGTAAGTGCAAATTAAGTGTGTAGAAAGAAAGAAAGAAAGAATTTGTTTTTAAAATGTATGATTTTAACGTTTATTATGTCTTTGGAAGTTTATAGGTGCACACCACAGATCCATTTTATTGCACTGTAGAGAAATGAGAAATCATTTCTTATTCATTGCTGTTAGCACTTAAGTCAGATTCTATTGGGGGCATGTGGAAAGTAATGCATATACCCGTTGTGTCTTTATGTTTATTTTATACCCTTTCCATTTTAGATCATGCAATTTATCAAAAAAATAAAAATAAAAAAAAAATAAAAAAAAAGCTGGTGAGATAAAGAGACCTTTCCTAAAATTAGAAGTGACAGAAGGACTAGCTAGGCTAGCTAAGCAGAGCTTTTGTAAAGGCAACATAACTTGGAGCTTCTGTTGTAAAGAGCAGCAAGAAATAAAATCCACCAAGTTAATAGTGGAAATCCACAACATTAACATGGCACCTCACAAGCAAACTGTTCAGTGACCTCTGCAGGAAATTTCTTTCTACATAAATCTTTAAATCATACATGGCAAAATTTCTGTGGTGGTGATGGTGGTTGTAGTAGAGATGTGACTAATGCATTTGTGTTTGTTTTTCTTTGCTGTGGCCTCTTTCAGGATTTATACTTTATCTCCACAGAACACATTTTGCCAACCTGTCTTCATCCTGGGAGATGATGCTATCATTTGATACAATCTGGGACTGAAACAGGATGAGCATTTTGTGGCTTTCTGTTCATACACCCAGGTAAATGAAATTGTGAAGGGAAACAGTGCACGTGAACTGAGAGGAGAATAGGGCCTGATCCAAAGCCCACTGAAGTTGATGAGAGTCTTTCCATTGACTTCAATGCTTTGGGTGAAGCCTTTCAAAAAGAATAGCAAAGAAATGTCATTAAAAAAGACAGAACTATGGTTGCTTTTTGGAAGGAGCTGATAAAAGAGAATTAAATGGACAGTGGGGGAGCAGAAAAAATGTTTACTATTTTGTTAAAAATGATCTAACCTAAAAGAATGGCTCTGGTGGTCATCAAAGCTTAACTGCACTCTGCTATGCTCATTTATGCTTAGGAAAAGAAATTCAAATTCAGGTCTCACAAAAATCTTCTAAGAAAACATCATCTGATCTGTATTATTATTACATTACATACAGAGTGTGATTACTAGCACAACACTCAATTTTTTTTTTACAGAACATGCAAAAATTCCAATAAAGTAAACTGAGTTTGTAAGATAGGTGTTTTCTTTTTCCCCTTCTGATTTTCCTCTGCTGACAAATGTTCATGGTATCTGACATGTCAAAAGTAGACATGCAAGAGAAGATGAATGCTGCAAAGCCCTCATAGCATACCAACAGCAAAGAGAGAAAAGTCTGCACAATAGTAACCACCCTGCAGTTCAGTTCCAAAGCATCACCAACCTCAATCGTGATCTTGAGAGAGGGAATGTCAACTGTCATGGCAGTGTTATATTGTCAGCTACCATATTGTAGGCATAAAACTATCAAACTTTTGGAGTAGGGATGTGATAGTAGGTTTGAATACGTTTCCAACCCACCCAAAATTCCTGGGTTTAAGATCTCAGCATGGAGCTGTTTGTTCTTTGACTATGTCAGGAATTACTTTGCCTCCCTCCCAAGGTGTAGCTTTAAGATTGAAAAATACAGTAACTCCTCACTTAACGTTGTAGTTATGTTCCTGAAAAATGCGACTTTAAGCGAAACGATGTTAAGCGAATCCAATTTCACCATAAGAATTAATGTAAATGAGGGGGTTAGGTTCCAGGGAAATTTTTTTCACCAAACAAAAGACTATATTATATATATATATATATACACACACACACAGTATACGTTTTAAACAATTTAATACTGGTACACAGTAATGATGATTGTGAAGCTTGGATGAGGTGCAGGAGTCAGAGGGTGGGATATTTCCCTTACTGCTAAATGATGAACTAGCAATTGGCTGAGCCTTCAAGGGTTAACTCTCTCACTCTACAAGGCAGCAGGAATGGAGGGAGATATGCGCATTTCCCCTTTAAGTACACTGCCTTGTTAATTAGATCAGCTCGCTGAGATGGAAGCTGCTGCAAGCTCCCTCTGTCCTGTGCTCTGGTGTGTCCCCCCTGCTCTATGGAAGATGGGGTAAGAGGGGTGCAGGAGCAGGGGGGAGGGGGACATGCTGACATTAGCCCCCCTCCTTCTTCCCTCCCCCCCGCACAACAAGCAGGAGTCTCAGGGAGCCGCTCCAAGGCAGAGGGCAGGAGCAGTACATGGCAGTGGTGGGAGGGACAGCTGCAACTGCTAGCCTGCTGGGCAGCTGCTGCACAAGGAACTTAGGGGAGCGGGGAGTTGATGGGGGAGCTGCTGGGGGCTGCTGGTCCACCCTGGTTCCGAGCTAGAGTGACCAGATGTCCCGATTTTATAGGGACAGTCCCGATTTCTGGGTCTCTCTCTTATATAGGTTCCTATTACCCCCCACCCCCTGTCCTGATTTTTCACACTTGCTGTCTGGTCACCCTATTCTAAGCCCCCACCAGCTAGCTGCAATGGGCTGCTCTTCCTGCAAGTAGTAGACAAAGCAGGCGGCTGCCAAACAACATTAGAAGGGAACATTACAGAACTTTAAATAAGCATGTTCTCTAATTGATCAGCAACGTAATGAAATGACGTTAACCGGGACGACTTTAAGTGAGGAGTTACTGTACTGAAGTAATATTTCAAGAGCATTGGAACTAGTAGTGGGAGACGTGATCCTAGGAGCACACAACTGGCCTGCTGGACTGGAGTTAGGATCTTAACCTTAGGACATAATGAGATAATCTAGAAAAGATAGGGGACAGGCCTAGAGCAGACAGAGGTGGTAGAGGATTGAAAGCGGGGACTTTTGACACAGCCAGACCTCGGAGCCCTTGAAGTAAGTAATGATCTAAAGACAGAAACATCCTGGAGCTTGTGCTTTCATTGATTCAATTTCAGAATTTTCTACAAAAACACACAGCTCAACTTTCATCTCAGATTCACAGGAAAGTTCTGCCATATAGTTTGTAAAAGCAACTGCTGAACACCTCCTGCATGTGTACAGTAGTTGATTGTGTTAGATACAGTATGTGATTATTTGTCTGCATGGATAACATGTATCAATGGAGACGACTGAAAAATCGAATTTCCATCCAGCAGGAAAATCTGATATTGCAATATGTGTTTTCATTCTGAAATGAAACATTTGGTTTCAGTTTGTCAACCTAGAATGAAACATTTTGGGTTGGGCGGCTGTGGCAAAGTACCTTCTTCTCCTCAGCAGGCTCAGTCCTTTTTAGCCTTGGAGACACAGGCTTGGGCAAGGCAAATCCTTGCAGGTAGCACAGGGTTTGGCTATTCCTTTTCTCAGTCAGCCCCTTGTGCTTGTTTATCTTCCCTTCTGGGGACAGAGTGCAGCCTTCCTTGCAGGAAGGGTTCAGAGCCTTGCTGCTCCTAACTTCCTGGCAGCTTCCCTGGTTCTCTCACTCTCTCTTCCCCCCCCTTCCACGCCAGGGAGGGTTTAAAAAGGTCCCAAGCAGTTGGAGTCAGCTGAACCTAATTAGTTCCCTAGTAACCCCTTGCCCAGCTGAACCTTATTTCCCCATGGTTCTCTCTCCTCAGTGGCTTGGGAGAGGCCTTTTTAACCCCCTGGGACTGATTACTACCCCCTTTGTAGCTGTTTGCCCTGGGTTTGCCACAGCGGCATTAATCTCTGTATCAGCCTGAGCCGCTGTAGTGCCCCCTGGGAGTTGGAGTTCCAGGTCCCTCATGCTTTCATCCCCTATGGAGCTAGGACACAGGTTGCTGCTACTACAGCACCAGACTTGCTTTTGAAACTCTAGTGAGGTCAGGAGTGTTCCCTGGAACATTGAACTGGCAGAATTGCAAAGCAATGCAGCTGAGTGATCTAAGAACAAAAGCAGAAATGCTTCCAATTATGTATATTAGCAGAAGTACCATACAGTCATTTAAAAGCATTTGTCACTGTGGTTACTCTGTGGAGCAGTACAGTATTATTGGCTGCACTCCCTGCTTGATTAACAAAATAACATCCTTTTATATGCCATAACATATTAAAGAAAATCTCTTTGTGGTCCATTTTCAGTATATGCACTACCCATGTTGACTCAGAACTCCCTCAGAATAGCTATCCAGTTCTGGATGCCCATTCATCATTGCTCTTTGTTTAACATCAGACCCATCAGCAGTATTTTAGATTTAGGGAGGATCTCCTCCTCCTTGTTGGAACTTGTAAAATGGCAGCCTCCTAAAATGCTCTGTTTCAGCCACACAGTTTAACTAACACTGTAACAGTACCAACCCCTGGCTGTAGATGCTCCCTAGCTGCTGCTTCCTTCAGTTATTTGCACAGAAGTTTACTATCTTCTCTCAGTTTGCTCTCTACAGTATCTCTTCTGTGCCATGTCCAACTGCACCCTCCCAGTCATTTCTTCTCTATAGATCATCCTTCTGGAAAGGTTGCTCTCCCTCTCTCAGTTCTACCATCAAATTTACTGTTGGGTATTTCCTTGCACACCTTGAGGCAGCTACAGTGGAGGACATAGACTCCAATACTGTCCTTGCCTTAGAAACACTAGATGTACCTGTGACAGTGTACCCCATAAGGCTTTATGGGGAGGGGGTGCTTATAAATGTATGTATGACATAACTGGAATATGTTTTGTGCTGCCTGTGCCAGGTAACATATCTCCGTAAAGGTTATGGTCTACTATATCTATTCATCCTATTTGTACATATATATATCATTTTCTACTTGAGGTTAAGAATATGGGCTGTATGCTTGCTTGGTTTCTAAGTAAGCTTTGGGAGGCATTTGGTCAGCTTCTTTAGGAAGGAATTCGCCAGGTTAAGTACCTGATCAGGAAACACTTGGAGAACAATGCATCTTGGAATGCTCCAATCCACATAAGAAGTCTTCCTGGAGACATGCAAGATACCAGGTGGACAATGGCGTCGGCCTGTAAAGACTGAGTCATGCAGGGGCATGTGACTTGCCCAAGTGACTCCAAAACTCCATCTTGGAGCTGGACTTTGCATAGGAGGGAGGAGGGGGGTCCCCACCCACAAGAGTCTATTTAAATCCGTGGGAGACCCCTCCATTTTGTCTTCAGCTGGCTAAAGAAGGAGCCTCTCCACCCCCCCCCCCAGGATACTTGAAGAGGACTGAAACAAAGGACAGTAACTACAGGGGGTGTGAGTGATTGCTGGACCCAGGCTAAAAGGCGATTAGCCTGTAAAAGGGAGTGCTCTGGAACTGGTGAGGAAATTATCTGTATTTAGTTTGATTAGACATAGATTTGCGCATTTTATTTTATTTTGCTTGGTGACTTACTTTGTTCTGTCTGTTACTACTTTGAACCACTTAAATCCTACTGTCTGTATTTAATAAAATCACTTTTTATTTAGTAATTTACTCAGAGTATGTATTAATACCTGAGGGAGCAAACAACTGTGCATATCTCTCTATCAGTGTTATAGAGAGCGAACAATTTATGAGTGTGCCCTGCATAAGCTTTATGCAGGGTAAAATGGATTTATCTTGGTTTAGACCCCATTGGGAGTTGGGCATCTGAGTGCTAAAGACAAGCACACTACTGTGAGCTGTTTTCAGGTAAACTTGCAGCTTTGGGACAAGTGATCCAGACCCTGGGTCTTCGTTGGAGCAGACGGGAGTGTCTGGCTCAGCAAGACAGGGTGCTGGAGTCCTGAGCTGGCAGGGAAAACAGAAGCAGGGGTAGTCTTAGTACGTCAGATGGCAGCTCCCAAGGGGGTTTCTGTGATCCAACCCGTCACAGTACCTGCATGTAACATCAGACAGGAGCAACATTCCTCCTCAAACAGAGTTAGCAGGCATCACCCAGGATCTCCAGAGCAAACACCACCTAGCTGCTGAGGGGATATGGCTCTTACAGAGAAATAAATGCAAGATACCATGGGGGTGAGGAATGAAATATATAAGTCCCTGCTCCACCCCACTAGTCCTTTACTGGACCCATGATACCATTCTCCATGGACCATGGGGACAGCAATGTGGGAAATGAGGAGGAGTGGGTCTGGAATGGTCCCTTTCCACAGGTCTCTCCCCTTTTATGTCACATGCAATTGTTCTTATAGAGTTTTCCTGCATTCTGCTCAAGAAATGGATTGGGCATTTGTTCCTCAACTGTGCTTCATTACTTGCCTCTGATCAGTCGTGGGAGGTCTGAACAAGGAGTTAACCACTGATGATCATACCATAAATGATCATATATGATATGCAGATACAAAAAAAAATATGTTATTAGCTGTGCAATCATACAAAATTCACTGGATTTGGATTTGTTTAGTACGGTTCTATTGTACTTTGTCATTTTATGAAAATAAGTTAGCTTGTGTATAACTACATCACTAAACGTAACTTACGACAGTCAGTTTCATCTTCATTAAACTGGCAGTCAGGCACACCGTCACATCTCAAGAGTGATGGGATACAACCTTTATTAGCACACAGGAACTCTGTTTCCTTGCAAAGCCATGGAGAAGCAGTGGTAGGAATCTCAGTAGGACAATTAATTTCATCAGTTCCATCCATACAATCCTCTACCCCATTACATTTTACAGCAAGAGGTAGACACTGCTGTACATACACACAAGTGAACTGGTCAGCGCTGCACGTTGGAGGTTGTGGTTTGGCTGTTCCTAGACAGGTGAAATAAGACCAAGAAAGGCATAATTATCATGTCAGTCTTGAAGTCACAATATATCCTGACTTCTAGGGATTACTGGGAAGGCAATTAATTTTGCAGATTCAACTCTTCTAATATGATTGCAAATTATTTATAAACACATTCCACCCTTTGTATAGTATTCACTATTGAAAAGTCTGTGTATCACCTCCTTGTTTATTTTGTTGCAGCATTTTTCTTGTAGAACCTAAATGCACCATTTATTTTGATTCTTTTGTTTGTACCTTGTTTGTGCAGGAGGCTTAATACAGAAGGGTTGCTAAAAGTTATCTTTCACCCTGTATTAGGAAAAGGTTTATTAATATTTTTGGCAGCCATCAAGTTATAGTGCTCCTCTTTCAATAGACTTAATGGATTAAAACAATAACAAAGAAGGGTTATATAAGCCTCTAAATCAACAAGAACATTTCACACAGAAAGCTTTTATGTACTCCAAGGTTTACCCTTAGACATCAACAAAATAGCAAGGGGAAAATTTTTGCAGAGTAGCTGCAAAGAAAACTATTTTGTTATATCAATGTATTTGCTTTGATTCTGTAGCATAGCTTCATTAAATGGGGGAATTAAATCAAAGGAAGGACCGTGTAATGCTTTTTCAGGATACAATTCACCAGCAGCATAAGCAAAAACTGGCATTTTGTTGGTTAACCCTTGGAGTAATCCAAATCCTTGACAATAGAGGGGCACACTGTACAGTTATGTTACCCTTTTTTGACCCCAGCAGTTAGTCAAAATTTGGGGTCTAATGGCTTGTTTTGGCTAGGAGGAGAATTTGATCCTGGAGTCAGGAGTTTCCCTGATACAATCCTGTTTATTTATAAAGAATGTACAAAATCTTGTTTCCCTGAACACAGCATGAATCAAACAGCAGGAGACAGTTTCTTTGGACAGTTCCAAGCCTCTTTTGAGCCAGCACTTAGCCCAAAAGCTCTCTCTTTAGGCTTTTCTCAGGGCTGGTCCACACTAAGCCCCCAGTTCGAACTAAGATACGCAACTTCAGCTACGTGAATAACGTAGCTGAAGTCGAAGTATCTTAGTTCGAACTTAAAGGTACTTACTGCGGGTCCACACGCGGCAGGCAGGCTCCCCCGTCGACTCCACCTACTCCTCTCGCAGAGCAGGATTACCGGCGTCGACGGCGAGCACTTCCGGGATCGATTTATCGCGTCTAGACAAGACGTGATAAATCGATCCCAGAAGATCGATTGCTTGCCACCGAACCAGCGGGTAAGTATAGACGTACCCTCAGAGTCACATTACCAGTGCTTGTTCCAGCTGCATCCTTGCTTTTCTGCTGTTTCTCCCGCTTTTCTTATACAGACAGACACACACACCTCCACCAAACAATACCCAGTAAAACACCACCACCCACATGTGCCTTGCATGTGCCCGTGTTTGGGTGGAGGCTGTTATTGTTTCAACTATCTGGTTCTAAAAAGGAGCTGAACTGTTAATATGTTTATCAATAATGAAAAATAGCTCTTACATCACAGTTTCATTGAGGCTTAACCCAACACATAACATTTATTTCTAGAGCTGAAAAATACTGGAAACAATTTTCTGTGAATAATAAACTAATTTACTTCAGCATTGCTTTGGCTCCTTTTTGTGTGTGTGTGCAAATATTAGTGCAATAGAGTTTTACTGGCACAAATACTCATGGACATTTTAAATCTACACATGTGAGTATTTGTGCTGGAAGTGCTGGTGTGCTCATCCATCATGGAATAGAAGTGCAGTAGAACCTCAGAGTTATGAACATGGAAGTTAAAAACTTACCAGTCAACCACACACCTCATTTGAAACCAGAAGTATGCACTCAGGCAGAGACAAAAAAAGAAAAAAAAGAAAAAAGCAAATACAGTACAGTACTGTGTTAAATGTAAACTACTAAAAATAAAGGGAAAGTAGCATTTTTCTTCTGCATAGTAAAGTTTCAAAGCTGCATTAAGCCAATGTTAAGTTGCAAATGTTTGAAAGAACAATCATAACATTTTGTTCAGAGTTAAAAACACTTCAGAGTTATGAACAACCTCCATTCCCCAGGTGTTCATAACTTTGAGGTGCTACTGTAATAACATGCAACTTATCTGGCCGATCACAACTAATCAACATTGATTGAATAGACAATATAGTTCATTGCAATCAATTCTTAGAATTGACAAATTTGGAAAAAAGTCACTATGTTCTTTCAGATTTGAAGAAATTGACATCATCTTGTGAATACTCTGCAAAGAGAAAGACCGTTTACAGGCTAAATTCTGTGGATAAATAATTTGATGCCAATTATGGTCCAGACTCTTTGTTGTACTGAGTTTTTGTTCAGTTCAACAGAGAGGGAAGGAGCCAACAAGGAACTTTTTTATGGCTCCCTGATTCTCTAGTCTTGTCTGCTCCAGCCAGGGCCCTGGTGGAATTTACAGAAACCCTGGAGGCTGCACTAAACTCTGCCAAATGGTACTGTCTGTTGCACTCTGGTCATGCCCTATGTCTGCTCCCACATATTCCATACACCAGGATTCCTGGAGGGGGTGTCAAAAGGACCTGATTATGCAGATTCTCTGTCCAGTATAACAATGATTCCCCCATTGGAAAGATGTGTCTGATTTCCTTTGTATTGCGTGAGTGCAAAAGGTATAGATAAGATCAGGCTGGAGAATCTGGCCCTGTATGCTCGATTCTCTTTATAGCTAGATGAATGTGCAGCATGCCAGTAAGTCCAATGATTTATATTACCACCAACAGCGTTAAAGACACTACATGTCAGACAAACAGTTTTCCCATTAAAGCCAATGGGAGTTTTGCCATTGACTTCAACAAGAGAAGAAGCAGGCCTAAATCTGGAAATTCACCTGTGGTGCTAGTTTGCTTTACTAGATCATGTGAATGATGTTACATTCATGAATGATGAGAATTAGCCAACAGGAGTGTAATGTGGAGACACCATGCAATGTTTTTGTTTGCTCATGGTGGTAGACCCTGTAGACAGCAGCTGCAGTGAAGAAATGATTCAGTCAGAGACTGAGGGCTTGTCTATACTTACGCGCTGGTTCGGCGGCAGGCAATTGAACTTCTGGGTTTGATTTATCGCGTCTTGTCTGGACGCGATAAATCGAACCCAGAAGTGCTCGCCGTCGACTCCGGTAATCCTGCTTGGTGCGAGGAGTACGCGGAGTCGACGGGGGAGCCTGCCTGCCGCGTCTGGACTGCGGTAAGTTCGAACTAAGGTACGTCGACTTCAGCTACGTTATTCATGTAGCTGAAGTTGCGTATCTTAGTTCAAATTGGGGGGGTTAGTGTAGACCAGGCCTAAGTGAAATCACATGCTATTGCTGCAGTGAGGCAGGGCACCTTGCATGGGAATGTACAAATGAGGCTACATCATTTATATTTTCCTTCGTCTTCAGTGCAGTAATCACTGACAACTTGTGTGTGACACATTACAGGATCAGAATCTATGACAGTAGAAAGTCTTTATTGATGTATGATTGGCATCTAAAAGAAGTGCTCCACAATTGACAATAAGCACTTCTTTCAAGATCTAACTGCTTTACCATTCAAATAAACAGAATTTATAATATTTTTATAATAGCCCCATCTAGTGACTTCCAGTAATATTATAGGGAGAAAGAGCTCCCACCCCCTGCCCTGACTCTACTACTCTAGACACTGACATTTGACCTGTGAGAAATCTCTGATGATCATGTGGGTCCAGGACAGAAAATGACCTTCATACTACAGGCATATTCCAGGTCCCCGATGTCCTGAGATAGGTGGTGCTGTGAAGCTGGATGTGCTATCCTTCATACTCTGGCCATAAGCCATACTTAAAAATAGTCCTCATCAATTGTTTTGACACAGTAAAAATGGTAAACTGCTGGTTTATGTCAGAATGTCAGCGTAATCCTCCGACCCAAGATTAGAATGATGAATTAACTTTTTTTAGAAAGTTTTCAAGATCTGTGCAATGTCACATGTACATTCCAATCACTGCTGTTTCAAGCATCTCATTTTAAATACTGTCTCTAGCCATGAATAAAAGTCTTTGTTTTTATTCTGATAAATAATTAATTTAAGAATTTCATTCTTCTCTTTACCACAATATCTTTGTTGCAAAGATAATATTCACTATTTTTAGATGTTTTAATTTTAAAAGCAGTATTGGATCCATATATAATTATTAAATAGACAAAATGAGGTAATCCAATTTTTATGTAATGTTTTAACGTACGTTTTAAGTTGTTTTTTGCTTTACAAATTTATCATTTTCACTTTATGTATCTTCAAAAGGCTCCTAAATAATAGTTATATTTGTCTGATTGATTTTAGGAATTTATTTACATCACATAGTAATTAATTTAAGAGTTCAGACGAGATGATTTAATGGTCTCTTCTGACCTGTAATTTCTTTAAAATATTCATAGAGCTTAACATTTTTTTAACATTTTCCATTTTTCCCCCTTTTCATTCTGAATTTGGGCTAGATCATTGTTAATGGAACTACTTAACTTATGTAACGGTGGCAGAATTGGGCCCAGGATGAGGATTTAGTCCAGAGGACACAAATTATGCCCTTTCTTATGCCAAAACAATATTAGTGAAGTCATTTGCTGAATATGACTCATTCTCTACTAAAGTGAACTTTTGTAACTGACATCATTACAGATCGGGTAATGTTACTGAGTCGGATCCAGGTTTCTAACCTCCTCCAGCTTCACACTCAGAGGTATTTGAATTTGTGGTTCCATTTTGAACCCTATGTCTAGTTTTATATATACTTCTGGCTCATAAAAGGCTGATACATTCAAACATATGGTCCTGATTCAGGAAAGGGCTTAAGAATATGAACAATCTCATCCTACTTCAGTAAAGCATTCACACATGTGTATAAATGCTTTGTTGAATTATGGCTTAACATTTCTGCTGTCCTGACTCTCTCCCTGTAAATCCAAA